CCGGCCCCTTTCTAAAGGCCTATGACGAGCTACGATCCAAAAGCCCGTATTCTCCCACAAAAATCAACTTTTTCGTGTATGATAGAATAAAAACACACAGTGCTGGAAACGTTATTGTATTGAAACACGTTGATATTACAACATTTTCGAGCCTGGACAAATCTTTGCAACTGTCAAAACATTTCCATTCTGGGCACAATTTTCAATCTCATGAACTGCTTGTCCGAGAGAGGGCGCCACCGACGCCGCAGAAGTCTGCACACCTCGTCTGTACAACGGTCGTAATCCAGGGCTGCCCCTCGGAGGCGTTCGTAAAAGTCACGTGACCACTCTCCGTGTCTTGGCCAATCACATCGCTTGATGAGTGCGTTCTGTCGAACCAACAAGGTGCTGAGATACGGGCTCTCATTGGCTAGGAGAATCAGCGTGGACGTGCTGATCCTCTCCCTTATCACCAGCGTGCGGAGCGAAGGACAACGACGCACGAGGAAGAGGAGAGAGGAGTCACACCGAGACTCGAACCCCCGCGGCCCGTGAACCCGAGGCAAGCGCTCCTGCACGAAGTAGTTGAGAGTTTTGCTGTAGTGTTCCACGATCGACATGACCAGATCGCTGCGCACACGGCTGTAGGGCGTGCGGAGGAAAATACCGTGCACCGGAGCGCGCGGCTGAATGAGTAGACGCGACTTGGTGATTCCAGAAACTTCTAGGTACACCCTCAGCCATGGAGACATTTCTTTGACCAGCTTCCAGGCTTCGTAAGAAACAGGCTCGCACTCACAGGTGTAAGGGTCCTGGAGCAAGTGAAGATGCAGAAGACTCAAGCCGGAGAGCAGCAACAGGACCTCCTCGTTCAGATGTTGGGGGCTGACCGTCAGTTTGAGCAGATTCCTGAACCGGGCAAGGTCTGGAAGGGCCAGGGGAACCTTGGTTACGTTGAGCATCTCCAGGGAGTGAAGACTGTCGCCGAAACAGCTGACGATACCGTCAAAAAGCGCCGACGTCTCCATGACGTCAATAAGCAGCTGGTTCAGTTTGAGATGTTTTAGGTCGCTCATACGACACAACAACTCTTTGATCATCTCCAGGATTTGACCCCCGGTCCCGTGGACCAAAAGACCTTCGTAGCCGCGCGTGGCGCAGGCGAAGGTGAAGTCAAAGGTGTGCAGCAGGGGCATGGCCGAGATCCCGTGGTCTTCTTGGAACTGGAGGAAGGCGGCGAGGATTCGGAGAAACTCGTACAGGTTGAAGTAGTCGGTGATGGGGGTGACCACGATCCTCTTGAAGAAAGAGCCCACTCGACGGAAGCAGAGCTGGGGAGGGGAACAGAACAATATTGTTATTTTATTTCATTTTATTTTTCATTTTTATATGTTGTTATTTTTACTGATCTATTTATTTATTTATTTACTTATGTATTTATTTATTTATTTTTGTATTTGTTTGTTTATTTATTTAT